GGAGGGCGCGGGCCCATGGCATTTGGCAACAAGCGCGGCCCCCCATTTGACGGCAATGGAAGGAGCTTTCGTGGCTCATGCTTCCGTTGTGGGCAGCCAGGCCACATGGCCAATGCTTGCCCGGAAAATGGGGGAGGAGCCCAAGGGCCGGCACCGGTGGTGTGAACGCCCTAGGGGGCGGTGCCGAGAGGCTTGAATGGAGATGATGGCACTAGGGAGTGCAAAGGCCGCTGGCCTATCCCATAGGGGATGTTAGAAAGGCCGCGGGCCTACCCCAAGGCAAGGGGTGTAGGACTAGGAGTCCTAGGTGAACATGTGATTGCAAGTAATGCTTGTATGCTCTTTTGAATGAATGGGAAGGCCTAATGGGCAAAGTTGTTGGACTCGCTTGAAAAAAAAAAAAAAAAAAAAAAAAAAAAGGAGCATGCGCTCTTGAGGTGTGGAAGAACCTGAAGCGGGGAACACCTATACGGCATGGAAGCCTACGGTACATGCGAACAAGAGAGAAAGAGATAGAGAGCGAAAAAAAAAAAAAAAAAAAAAAAAAAAAAAGGGAAGTGGCAAGATGTGCGGGCTATGCAAGCCCTGAAATGCAAAGGAATCACGGGTGAAGGGGAAAAAAAAAAAAAAAAAAAAAAAAAAAGGAAAGAGTGGGTGTGGGACTTGGGGTCCCATGATGCCAAGAGCACACGCCATAATGCAAAACAAAGGGTGGCCTACCAAACATGGAAGGCAGCAAATGGCCATCCGAAGAGCATGCGGCACGTGAAAAAAAAAAAAAAAAAAAAAAAAAGGCAAGGGCCAAAGCGGCCGAACGAAGGGGCTGCTCCGGTGGAGCACCTCCGGTTGGGCACATCTCAGAACACCAGAGTGCAGGTGTAGGCACGCAAAGGTCTCACGAACCACAAAAAAAAAAAAAAAAAAAAAAAAAAAGAGAGAGAGAGAGAGGGAAGGGGAAGGGGCGTCGGTATGAACATTTGCGGGCATTGGATCTAGTTAATCGTACGCACAACCTACTAGCCAAACGCCCTTGCTTAAAAGAAGCCCGTCCCGAATTACCGAGTCGGATGGTAGAGCGTCACCACTCTCACGCGATTGGTCCAGAGTTTCACGTGGGTTTCGACAGGACTGGCTTCCGATTCCCTAACCGAACCGCCGCTGGGGTTTTTCCGAACCTACAATTTTCCGTTGACTTCCTTGTGTAATTCGAGTCTTGAGTTTTAACGAAGCACGCCCCATGTTGCCCCCACACCCATGGTCCACTGGCTACAGATATGCCGGGGGGTGGAACGATCGAGGGGGGTGGCCCCTATGAGTTCGCGGTCACTGACAAGCTCGTCACGACCATGCGTGGGCGCCTGCGCACGGCATTTCCATGGTGGAGCTCGTGGTGCGAGAGTAGTTTCATACTCTCGGTGATCGCCAATGGCTACTGGATGCCATGGAAGCATGGACCACCCACGCCGTTCCGGCAAGACAACCACGCGGGAGCGCTAATCCATTCCACGTTCACCAAGCAGGCAATAACCGAGCGTCTCGAGAGTGGTGCGGCCACACCCGCCCCCGCGGAACAACAGCTATGCATCAGCCCGCTAAATGTGGTGGTTCAAAGAGAAAAGTGCCGACTGATTCTTGACCTCCGAAGGGTGAACCAAAATTTGTGTATCCCCAAATTCAAGTACGAAGGACTGAACCGGGTGGCAGAGCTCGTTCATGAAGACGACTGGATGTTTGCTGTCGATTTAAAATCAGGATACCACCACGTTGACATCCACCCTTCCTACTGGAAGTTCCTCGGGTTCCAATTCGATGGGCGCTCGTACGTCTTTCGATCTCTGCCATTCGGGCTGGCGACAGCCCCGTTCGTTTTCACACAGCTCATCAAGCAGCTCGCCCGTCGTTGGCGGGCTCTCGGGGTGCGAGTCATCCCTTACGTCGACGACATCCTTTTTCTGTGTCGCACGGCAGCAGAAGCGCGAACCACGGGTCAGATGGTGGTGCAAGACCTCAGCAAGGCTGGACTGGTTATCAATTCCAAGAAGTCGCACTTGCAACCCACCCAGCAGCTACGGTTTTTGGGTGTCGAGCTGGATACACAGCGCGGCCAGTTCTCCATTGGTCCCGAGCGGCGAGCATCGTTACATTCAACCATTCGCGAATTATGCATGGCTGGCAAGGCCGAACGCAAAGTCCCGATCCGCCACGCAGCCAGAGTTACCGGCATGCTCGCGTCGATGTCGCTTGCCATCGGCGCAACCGCGCGCGCATTCAGCCAGAATCTACTACAGACCATTCAGGATGTCCCTTCCTGGAACAGCAAAGTGCAGTTGGTCCCTGCGGTCATCGAAGAGCTCGAGTTTTGGCTACATGAATTTGACAGATTCAATGGAGCCCCATTCCATGTCCCGAACAGCTATGACGCAGTAATCCATGTGGACGCCAGCGCACACAGCTGGGGAGCGACACTAGATATGTTTCCAGGGAGGCGAATCGAGGCAACGGGAAATGGACGGAGTCCTATGGGCATTGCAGACATTCTCGGGAAGGATCCAGCACCGACATGTCCTCGCCAGAACCGACAATCAAGGTGTCTTCTTTATTCTTCGCAAAGGTGGTTCGCGGACCCCGAGCCTCACAACAACGTGCAGAGCCATCATTCAAGCGTGCGTCACCTTTGGGATCCGGTTGACAGTTGAATGGATTCCGCGCGAACTCAACACACGAGCGGATGAACTTTCAAAGATGATCGATCGCGACGACTACGCAATCAAAGCACCATGGTTCCGGCTCATCGAACGGCGCTTGGGACCGCACTCAATCGATTTATTTGCCAATGCGAACAACACCCAGCTGGCTCGCTTCTGCTCCAAAACTCCTCACCCTGACGCAGAGGCAACTGACGCCTTCTCCATATCATGGGCCCCCGAGCATGCATATGCGTTTCCGCCACCCCACCTCATCCCAGCGGTGTTGCATCACGCCCAAAGGACGCGAGCATCGCTCACGCTCGTCGTGCCTCATTGGCCAGGGGCAAGCTGGTGGCCGTTACTACAACCCGCCCCGCCCCAATGGGCCGCCTGCATTCTCGCTCATATCTGCCTCACCCATGGGAGCGAGTGCCTGACCGCAGGCACCCACACTCACGCATTTTCTGGGGAAGGATTGCCTCATAGCCCGATTCTTGCATTACAAGTGTCCTTCGCCACCTGACCATTCACACATCTGGTGCAGGATTGCTCGAGCGGCTCAAGCAAGAGTTGCTTCGGATAACGACGCATACAAGGGCTGACTCCACCATTCGCACCTACGAACCATACTGGGCCAAGTTCCGAGCATTCTGCATAGACGTGAAACTGCAGTTCCTGCCATGCACAGACATGACACTCGCATTATACCTGGTCCACGCGATTCAACAGAAGGCCACCATATCAGCAATACAACTAACATGCTCGGCAGACAGCTTCGCGCATCGGATGATTGGGGCCACGTGCCCGTCGACCGGGCCGTTCACATCCAATGTGCGAGACTTCGCCAAGCGACATTGTCCGCGACCTCAACGACTCAAGGATCCCGTCTCGCTGCATCAAGTACATGCAATGGCGGCGGAATTCCTGAAATCGAACAACCCGGGCGAGTTTCAGAAGGGGCTCATCCCACTACTCATGTACGCCGGCTTCCTGCGATACTCAGACCTCGTCGCACTCAATTGGCACGAGATTGAGTTCGAGAAAGACGCTATGTGGCTCCTGATCCCCCACTCTAAAACAGACCAGGCAGGAGAAGGTGCATGGGTCCCAGTAGCCGCCAGTCCGGGCCCTTTCTGCCCCGTACAATGCACCAAACGCTTCATCCAGTTGGCAGGCTATGGCCGCGCACAATACGGCCCGTTGATACGAGTCTTTGGTTCAGACACTACGGGTCGCGTTAGTACGACAACACCACCCTCCTATACAACAATCCGCAATTGGTGCAAGGAGGCATTTCACAAGATTGGCCTAGGACTCGAGCACCTCAGAACCCACTCATTCCGCAAAGGCGCAGCAACCGTCGCCGCCAACGCAGGAGTACCTGATCGCATTTTGAAACAGCTGGGGAGGTGGTGCAGCGATACGGCCAAGGAGATGTACATCACTCCGGCGATAGAACAGTTGGTTGGAGCATCTCGACATGTCCAAGATCCGGCGAGAGCCTCGTCACCGACGCAACACTCCGCGGCGCTGACACGACATCGCCAACCAGCACGACACATGTCTCAGAAGACCCATTTAAAATGAGACGATGCCAATTGCTACATGCAAGAAAGCAAGCTTTCTAAATATGTATATTTTTAAAAGCTGTAACGCTTTTCAAAATTATGTATTTTGAAAGCGAAGCTGCTTGTAATGTAGGATTTGGCAGCGTCGAGCCGCGCTAAACGCCCGTTTTGGAGTACAAAACGTGGGCTGGAGGTCATTTCCCTCCACCCACGTCTCTCATTTTCAAACGGTTTAGCCGATTTTCCCGCCCCCCCCCCCCCCCCCCCCCCCCCTCGGAAACAGGATAGCCGTAGGAACATAGAGGCATATCTTTGTAATATCACTATGGATTTCAATTGTACTAAACCCATTTGAAATGAGACGATGCCAATTGCTACATGCAAGAAAGCAAGCTTTCTAAATTTAACCTCTAGAAAACACTTTTGAGGTTGGGGGGGGGGGGGGGGTCTTATAATGATTTCACCCCAAGTGGGGGGTATAAGGAAAACAGTCTTGAATAATATACCCCCCCACTCCCCCGTAATAAGGACCCGGGAACATTATTATGGGGGGGTCTTTTATCCGGGGGAATACAGTAGTACTTTTACCCAACTCATTCGTAGTCCCATCATTCTCGTTCAGTATTCTGACATAATTCACTCCATTCATAATTATTTCAGAATTAGTACATAGGAAACTGGGGCAACACTTATACAACATGCAAGAAGACAGATTCCTCCCTACTTGTCTCCCTATCCCCCCTGCTTACTTGATGGGCTGAACGGCTATAGGAGACCGCACTATGTGCCCCTGGTCATCTGTCCATGTGAGACTGCCAAAGACGAAGTTTGGATTCTTTCTCTGAACTGTAAATGTAACTGTGTAGGCCACAGTTTGCCCTGGCTCGATCGTGAAACTCTTAGGGGCCACTACCACGTTCACACCAGCTGGAGATTCCACCGACGATTCGTATGTCGAAGCCTCACTGGCGACGTTGGTAACCCGTCGCGTCACCGTCAGTGTTCGCTGAAGTTTCGACACACTAATTGACGCACGGTTGAGATTGCACGCGCGGATGGCCTTCACTGTCATCGAACGGAACTCCTTCTTCGCCTGATTCATGTTCACGCCCGCGAGGAAATTCCTGTATTCCGTCTCATTCGAGTCGTACGTCAGGCCAGGGTCGAGAACACTCATAGGGTTCACGTGACCCGCGCCGATCTCCCAGGGGTTTGCAACGCGGTCGCCTGTTGGCGGCGACTGGCACCCTTTCGCCATCGTGCGAATCAGCATTTCCTTGTTGTTTGTCACGCTTGCCGTGGTCATCATCGCCGACATGATCTGAGCCGGAGTCCACGAAGGCTTCTGCTGGATTATAAGCGCCGCGATCCCCGCCACATGCGGTGTAGCCATAGACGTCCCGGAGAGTCTCTTGAAGTAGTCATCGTAGTCGGTGAGTGAGGGACTGGGGGCAGCGCCCCAGAGCTGAACGCCAGGAGCGATGATGTCGGGTTTGAGGATGTCGTTAGTGGGCCGCCCGGGCGCTGGGGCAGCGGCTGGCGCGGCTACAGGGCCGGTGGAGGAGAAAGGCGCGAGGATAGGCGCTTCGTCGGGAGTGTCAGGGGACTCGGTGAAGCTGAGAGGAGGCGGGGAAGGGGAGAGGGGGGGGGGGGTTGGGGACGAAGGAGAAAGGGAGAGGAATATGTGAGGAGGAAGAGAATGACAGGATGTTGGGCTAGGCTTTCTGAGGAAGCACAAAGGTAGCAGGAGGGGTGAGAAAGAGAAGGCCACGCACAAGAGGTAACCTTTAAAGTATGGGCAAGGGGTAAGGGGGTTGAAAAGGGAGAGGGGCCGTACGTCAAGCCTTTGAGTTCCTTGGAAGAGATTGTGATGGGCCCTTCAGACTTGGTGGTCACACCAGACCCAGCATCGGCATCAGCGTCAGCATCAGCACCTGTACCAGCACCAGCACCAGCACCAGCATCATTGTCAGCAACACCACCACTGCTGCCGCTGCTGCCAGAGGTACCAGACGTGGGCAGTGAGTCGGTGCTGTCAGCGTCGGCGTTGGGATCAGAGCTGGGGGCCTTTTTGGCCAGGGACGTTATTTCGTTGCCTGCCATGTCTGTGTAGATGCTTATGGTGCTGATGGGGGGCGAGAGGCGAGGGGAAGAAGGGAGGGGGAAGGGGGAGGGGGAAGAGGGAAGGGAGGGGGAAGGGGGAACAGGGAGGGGAAGTGACGGCAGAGGATAGAGGAGGGAAAGGTGAGTGGTGTTTGGCGCTGGTTGTGTGTAGTGGCTCTCGTGGCGCTGCGTGTCGAGAAAAGAATGAAGCGAGGGAAGCGTTGCAGAAGCACGAGTAGGTGGATGACGAGGGAATAGGGAAGTGCGGGAACAGGGGAAAGCGGAGAGCTAGCAGCTGAGAAGGGGGTGTGGAGAGGGGGGAGTGGAGGGGAAGGAGTGTACCTGGCTCCCACGGAGAGGTACCACGGCGAGAAGTTGTCTATGAGGCGGTACTCCCCCCTGGCCGGATGCACACTGCCCGCATTGCCCGCTGCAAACGCCACCACCACGCCCGCCTGGCGAAGGGGAGGAGGGAAGAGGAGGTGAGGGTGAGGAAGGGAAATGGGAAATGGAAGCGAGACTGACTTTCTGCCACACCTCAAGCCCAGCAAAAATGGAGCACACGGAGAACTTGCATCATGCACCTTGCAAAACGTGCAAGAGTTTGGGAGGTTGAAACGTGGAGGTTGGAGGTGGGTGGGATGGGAGGGAGTCATGAGGCTGCAACGACGTACGGCGTGCGCATTGAGGAAGGGCAGGTCGTCGAAATACGTGGCGCGCGTATCCACGCCTCCGAACGACAGGCTGAGCACGTCCACGCCGTCCGCCACGGCGGCATTCACGGCGGCGTTCACGTCCGCGGAGTTGGCCCACATGCTGCCCGCGTGCGTCCAGAAGATCTTGTACACCGCGAGGCGCGCGCGCGGCGCCATGCCGCTCGCCGTGACGTCGCCTATGGCGACGCCGTTGTTGCCCGCAGCCGCGCTGGCAGGGGGAAGGAAGGAAGGTGTGAGCGGGTGGGACGGGAAGGGAATGCTGACGGTGGACGAAGTGCGCGCAGCGGTGGAGCAGCGACGTGTAGACAGACGACGGAGGAGAGGGAGGGAAGGGAGGGGAAGAGAAGGGAAGGAAGGGGAAGGGAAGGGAAAGGTATGTGAGTGGGAAGAGAGAGAGAGAGACACGCGGGGCAGGGCAGCGAAGCGCGTACCTGGCACACCACGTGCCATGGCCGTCGGTGTCGCGCGGCGAGTTGAAATCCGTAGAGAAGTCAATCTTGCCCTTGACCTCCTTGTTAAACGCGGCGTTGAAGTAGCGCGCGCCCACCAGCTTGCCGTTGCACGCCTGGAAGTCGCTCGTCGTCTGGCACTCGCCCTTGAACGACGCCGGCGAGTCGCCGTACGGGTTCACGTCCTGCTTGCGGGTAAGGGAATGCGCGGGGAGCGGAGAGATGAGGGAGGTTGGAGGAGAGGGGGAAGGGGCGCAAGGTGTGTGTGAGGGGGTGTGACGGGGTGATGAGGCGACGAGTCGGCATCCCATCGCATCGCATTACATCGCATTACATCGCGTCGCACTCCGCCTGCATAACGTCCCCTTCAGTTCCTACGCCCGGAACATCCACCATGTTTCCAGACTCAGCGGACCCTATCCAGCCGTTCATCTATCTAGTGCCACTGTCTTCAGCGTGTTCGCAAAGTCTATCCACACGCGCCGCGTCACACGCACCGTGTTGGCGAAGGACGCGTGCTCGGGCCAGATCCCCGAGTCGATCACGCCCACCACCACGTCTTCCCCCGCCGCCGTCTCCCCGCCCGCGGTGGCCCAAAGCGACTGCGGAAGGCGCAGGAACTGCGGGGAGTGCGTGGTGGAGGGCGCCAGGCGCACGCTCTGCGTGACGGCCGCGACGTCCGGGTGGGTCTGCAGACTGCGGACCTGCTTCGGCGAGAGAACCGCCGCGAACCCGTTCTCCACGTGCGTGTAGCTGATAGGGGGAGAGTGAGAGGGAGGGAGAAAGAGGGAAAGAGAGATTGGGAGGAGAGCGAAAGAGAGAGGGAGCATGTCTGCCGGGCGACGGACAGGCCGACGGGTTCAGTCAGGCACTTGCGCAAGAGAGACGGCTTTTCGTCCCCGTTGCTCACCTGTGAATGAGCTTGCTAGTGGCAACGCCCACGTCCTGCGCAACCTTCTTCTGCTGGTTCTTGAGAAACTTCACAAACGCCTTCACGTTCGGCGCGCGCGCGTTCAGCTTCGTCCGCTTCTTCCACAGCTGCTTCGCCGATTTCGCTAGCCTGCCGAGCGCGTTCGCGGCGGTGGTGGCCGGCGAGGTGGCCGGGTAGCCGGCGATTCCGCCGGAATACGCTGTGACCGGTGGGTCTTTAAGGCGGACTATGTAGACTGGGTCGAATTCGCCTGGCGGAATATAAAAGGGTTAGAGAGGCAGGGAGAAAGAGAAAGGCGGAGGAATGGCGGGAGGGAGAGAGGCGGGGAAGAGGGATAGGGCAAGAAAGAAGGGGAGAGGGAGAAGGTGGGAAAACGAGGGAAAGAAAGAGCGGGTAAGAGATGGGGAAGTGACTAGACAGGTGCTTGCTGCTGATTCTTCCCATGCAGTCTCGGTCAACGCGCATCCCACGGCCCGTCGACCACACATCGTTAGTGCAGTAATAAGGAGCACGGCGAGGTAAACGGCCCGACGCGGTAAGCAGCACGCAGTCGGACGGCCAGCTCCACCCCCGAGAAGGATTGCGCCCCCCGTCCTGCTACGCACACGGTCACCTCGAAACGCGCTACATTCCTGTGCGCGGGCGCTACATTCCGCGGTCCAGCGTCAATGAATGCGGGGGTGCGGCGTACCTTGACCGGCGAGGCACGGCGCGACGAGAGAGAGGAGCAGCAGGAGCGGCGGCAGCGCCACCAGTGATGCGCGCGCAAGGGGCGCGGAAGGCGCCATGTGCGCGGTTCTGGGGGTCCTAGGCGCGGAAGATCAGTGCGCGGAGGGTTTGTGGTGCGGTGGATGCTGAAGGTCAGAACCCAGAACGCGACACGTGACTTTCTAGTCGAGCTCAAAGGCACGCGTGATCTGAGGCAGTGGAAAGCTGCGGAGAGTCAGGACGGGTTGTGTAGGTGGGTAGTCGTGGGATGGCTGGTCCAACTATCTATAGATTCTTATGGTCGAGGCGTCACGCGGCACTGGGTTTGTTGGCCTGGAGAGGCATGTGTGGTGGCTGGAGCGTAGACACAAAGGAATACGCTCCGACTGATGAGGTAGCTGGCCCGTGCTACGAGTTAGTAGTCACTTAGTAGGTTCAAAGCACGTTCAGTGTATACTACTTAGATGAATGAAGTGGGAAATGGGAAACAACACAAGCGGTTAGGGAAATTACGCATTAGTCGAGTGCTATCATTTATCGTTTGTGGAAAGGCGAGGTGAGAAATATTCATGGTCTCTTGACCCAAGCCCACAAGGTCGTCGTATCGCTTTCAGGCGTTGTGTCTAGCGGCATGTGAGGAAAGTATTTCGCCTGCGTGAAAGGGGAAGGAGCGGGCGTTGCAGTGGAATTCGTCAATGGGGAAATGGAGAAATGGAGGGAGGGATGGAAGTGGGAAGGGGGTTCCATCGGTTGGCGGGAGGAACGCAGGCAGGAAAGGCAGAAAAGCTGGAGGGAGGGAGGTAGAGAACAGGCCTGTCGAAGTCCCTGCGACCAAAACTTTGAGTCCTGAGCTGTTCGAATTCTTGCCCTGATTTTCACGGGCGTAGGCCAAATTCAAAACTGGAAATCAGCGCTTCTTAGGAAAGTGTGCTTTGGCCCTAATGTAACACAGGAGGATATTTACCTCCGGAAAAGGTACACACAAACTACTCATCTACACGCCTACAGCCTCAACATCGTCCGCAAAAACACCGTCGGCAAAAATATCGGGGAGTGGGGGTTGGGGGGGGGAGGGGATGGCGGCGGGAATTCGGGTGGGGGTGGGGGGGTCCTTCAAAACAGAAACCAAAACTTTGATTCAGGGGAAGGCCCAAACGAGGCCCTTAACTGTCACGGGTGCCATGCCTATCTAACACTTTATATGGTCGAGCTGCTCGAAACGTAGGCCGGAATGTTCAGGGAATTAAGGGAAAATGCCCTTGCTTCTACAGCACTGGTAGAGAAGGAACAGTTCCGCACTGTTCTGGTTTCGATACACCTCAGGTGACGCGGTTCTGTTGCGTCCGAGGCCAGGGTGGTGATGCCCTGCATGTACCCTATGGTGTTTCCCGCCGCTCCACTTCGGTTCATTATTGGCAGCTTCAACACAGGGTTCGACGATAAGCACCAGCTAGCAGGGTACATACAACAAATGTTTCTGGATGCCCGAGGCAATCTGCTCTGCTGGATCAGGTGTAGTACAAACAACAGCTCACGTACTGCACGGCGGCTCGTGTGGCGGCGCTGCAAAGAGGCGGCTCAGGTTGGAAATAAACATCTGAAGTGAACTTAGACCTCATTCAGGTGAGATGGGGGAGTCTGGTTGCATGTTGGCAAGACTGTCTGTTCCCTACAGCTGCCACTAGTTAGCGTGTGGCAAGAGCGCGCTTCGTAGGAGGAAATAATTTAAAGTTATGGGCTCGACATGTAGGTATATCTATATGAGTTGTTTAATATAGTTGCGCTAAATAAAGAATAACAAAGTTGAAGATGTGACAAAATGGAATGACAATACAATGAATTACTCAGGACAATATAGCGAGCTAACCTACTTAGGCGGGAAACCTTGGGAATGCGAGGTTGGGGGCATGTTGGGCAAAGGAACACCGAAGGAAACGGGAGGCAACCTCGGTGTCGATGAAATCGACCGAACGTGCACCTTCGAGAATTGGGGTTGTACGTAAAGCACTAAGCATCGTTAAGGAAAATATTTTCCCTTAAGAAGGGTGATCCATATCAGCCACACCCTTCCGAGCGAGGTAATCGCAAAGCAATGAAGGCGCTTCAAGCGAGGCTGATAGTGCCCAGGTGCCGTCCTTGCATGTGCAGCCAGACCAACGGATTAGATAATCCAAATGGTTTCCAGCTGATTCAAATCGTACGCGATGGCCCAAGATTTTCGACGGGTCAAGCATCCGTCCTGGTACAATTCGAGATGTTGGTGCGTCGTTTTGTCGAGAGATACATGTCGTAGCAATGACAAAAGGTCACTGGAAGCTGGCATAGAAGGCATCGTGCAAATGCCAGTCGTCGGCCAATTTGTTTTTTTGTTGTTACCGGGGTAATCATTTAGATAATGCGGAAAGGTCCACAAGATTGAAGGCAGAGATTCAGCGAGATGGTGAGTCAAATGCTCTTTGTATCGAACATGACAAGTTGCCATGCCCAGCAAACATGGTGATTTTCCTTCGGGGAAGATCGAAATATTTTTGTGCAGTCACATTCGTCTTCCCAATAATTTCGACACCTTTCACGTAAATCCGTCTTGGAGTTCTGTCACAAAATGTCGCAATCTTGGTTGTTCTCAAAAGTTGTCACTGTATGTACCCCTGGGTCCATACTCCAATTCAAGAAAAACGGAGAGTGATTGGTCGTGTCGGACGGTTCATTGTTGTACGCAAATTCCTGCATCGATATTGTAATTTCCCGGCGAGGAGGGTCAGGGCAGTTCGTGCAGATGAGCGGACATAAACGCCTATATCTCGCTCGATACTTAGGCGATCGAGGTGATCTACGGCTCGTTGGAAAGCTAACAGAGTGCTCTATTGTTTAGTTCAAATCCCAGTTCCTGCCAACTAGAGGAGAGTCCTCTACAACAGTGGTATCAGAGCTGGTCGGAGGAGTCTACGCGCGCAACAAGAAGCTAGCATGCCGACGGCAAGCGAGGCCTCCCGCACTTCCTTGGATGGTGTCGTTGTAAATTCCGGCGAACCCTGGGCAACTGCGACGATGTTGGACACGTCGGCGGTACCGATTTTCACGGGACAAAACTACTCCGCGTGGAAGTTTAAGTTCCAAGTGCTCATGATGGAACGGGGACTTTGGGGTTTCTTTGATGGAACGGAGAAGAAGCCGGACAACGAGAGCGACATCGTGGCATGGAAGAAGAAGGACCAAAAGGCGTTCGCTACGTTGATTTCGCGCATCGGCATCAATCTCGTGAGCTCGGTGCGCATGTGCATCAAGCTCGAAGCGTCGGTGCATGAAGCGTGGAAGCGGCTCGAGACGATGCACGTGAACAAGACTCTCCACGGCAAGATCCTAGCCCGGAATGCGTTCTACACAGTGAAGATGCGCGCGGGCGAATCGATGCACGAGTATGCGACTCGTGTGGAGGAACTCGGGGAAACGTTCATGGACCTCAGTGGAACGGTCACGGAGGAGGATTGGATTTTGACCTTGCTATACGGCCTTCCGGAAGAGTGGTCGACGGTGATTACGACACTCGATATCGTGCAAGACACTTGGACGAAGGAAATGGTGGTCGGTCGGCTTCTCCATGAAGAATCGCGTCGCCGACAATTCGCTAATGAGAGCGAGGGTGCCGCCATGTTCTCCGGAGGGAGTTCCAGAAAGAAGTCCACGTGGAGCAAGGGTGCGACGAAGAAGTCGTCCGGTAGAAGCAATCGCGGCAAGAGAAACACATCGAATGGCTCGAGCAAGTGCCACTATTGTGGCAAGGCGGGACACTTTTGGCGTGAGTGTCGGAAGCGCCCGAGCTATTGGACTCCATCGAAGGCGCGGAACCACGAGGGCAACGCGCACACGGCATCCGGCGATGCGGATGATGCAAGGGAGTCGATCGTATTATTGGCCGGTGACGGGACCAACACACCAACACGATGAGAGTGGTGCAGTAGCTCAGAAGCAGCACAAGGGTGAGGAGAACCCCAAGCCACCAGCGGACGAGGACTACGGAGAGAGCATGTGGGGCACTATTGCGAGTGCGGCATTCTCCAATCCGACTTCGGCTACGGGGGAGTGTGATTGGTTGACCTTGCATCGGCACATGGGGCATGTGGCCCTACCCATCTTGCAGCAGCTAGTGAAGAATGAGATGGTTGCTGGCATACGTGTGAAGGGGGAGCCCGATGAGGTACTTGGCTGCTCAACGTGCATGCAAGCCAAGTTCACCCGTTACCCGTTCTCTAGTTCGGAGGCAGCGGCTATTGCACCACTTGATGAGGTGGTGATGGACGTGGTGGGCCCCTTGAAGCTTGGAGCTGCTAGAGCAGAGTACTTCCTCACCATTGTGGACGTCTACACCCGCATGACCTGGGTGTACGTGCTGTCCAAGAAGAGCGATGTGGCTGAAACGGTGAAGACCGATTGGTTGCCGATGGTGGAGCGGCAACAAGACCGGCTAGACTGTGCACTCTATCTTTCGTTTTAGGCACATTCAAGCCTATTGTGACTATAACATAGTATAGGTCAAAGATCGCAACTCCAGGCCTAAGCAGCTCTGCCCAGTGGGGGCGCTCGACCTCGTCACCAAACTCAGCGCGCCAAGCGTTGTCGAGGCGGGAGAAGCAGCGATGCTGAGTGTGGGGCTTCCCGCATGTCTGACCAGTACGGTCACCCATGCGAATGACATACGGGCAGCTCACACAACCCCCAGACGCCCCACGCTGAAACAACCACTCACGAAGCTGTTGGGGCGACGGGGTCTCGCTCTGACGCTGCTGCCGCTGCCTCTGGCCTCCTCCAGAACCTCCACGCTGAGCACCAGTCCTACCGCCACCACTCCCACCGCTGCCACTACCGCCACTCCCACCGCTGCCTCCACCACCGCCACCAAAGCCCCCACTCCCGCCACCACTCCCACCGCTGCCACCACCTCCACTGCCTCCACTACCTCCACTGCTGCCCCCACCACCACTCCCGCTGCCACCACCACCACCCCTGCCACCCTTGCCCTTGCTGCTGTGGCGCTTCGCACTAGCAAAAGCAGCCCCGACGTCCTCAGCACCAGGGACGTCAA